TTCCTGCTACGAATCTAGTTTGCTTCTTTTAATATTGCAAGGTTAAATTTTAAAAACATTTTAAGCTCAAGCAATTTTTTTGAGAAAAAGAGAAGCAGAGCAATGAACAATTCAGGGTAGCAACTTTAAAACCAGATTACTGTCAAGACAGACTTTTTAAAAAGTTATACTCACCCTTGACAGTTTCATTCAAGTTTTGGTTATTGAGAATTTCCCTTCTAAAAGGATAGGATATTTCTCAAAACTTCATAGATATATTAAAATTCTACGAGAAGAACTAGTTTTGCTGCCACAGAAATTGGAAATTGTATTGTTTGAACAGTGGAAATGGAAACTTCCTAAAATGACCGTAGGGTCTATTCACAAAAAGTAATATAAAGCAGCAGAATTAGTGTATTTTCATAAGAAAACAGAATCAACTTTCTATAATACTGGCAGAATTAACAGCATTTTTATCACTTACATGTAACAAAACTATACAGTACAACATATTTTAGATGCAGATTTTTTTTTTAAATAATAAAGGAAGGGCTATCTGCATATTGTTTTCTGTTTGACCAGCATCTTACGATGCATGCATTCACTTTCTGTAAGGTCTTTTTCTTGGGGAAAAACCCCACATTGCTTAATTTAATAATACCATTGTAATTTATAGCACTAATAATCCAGTAGTTGAAATACACCATTACTCCAGTTGTCCAGATTACTGTATTTTGTGAATAGACAGCAAATTTATCTATCCTCATCACCTATGCAAAAATGACATCCTTCATTAAGAATTTTGTGGGATGAAAGCTTCTTATAGACGACACAAATAAAAATGGAATGAGAAAGGGTGGGAAACACAGGGATTAAGGTTGGATAAGTAAATCACAAGGACAGAAGAAGAAAGTTAATCCACCTTGGAAACACAGTGCACTATCATTGTTGTTAGTTGCGTCCATGTCTGGAAAAGAGGCACTAAGAGGTAATCTTCCACAATCATTCTGGTACAGTGGGCAATGGATAGCACCATCTTGAGGCAGTGGATGAAAAGGCTGGTGCATGGGACTCTTTTTCAGAGCTTTGAGAGATGAATTCCTTTCTGGAATGTCTGGAAGCAGCTCAGTAATAAGTCTGTGTAATATACTGTTGTCGGGCAAGCTTCCCCTTCTTTTTTCAGCTTTAATTTGGTCACAGATGTCTTTAAGTGCAGAATCTAGTGCTTCAAATACAGATGACTTGCATTTTTTCTTTTCCGTTTGTTTTTTAGGAGCTGCACTTTTTTTCCTCCGGAAAGGCACTGGACTGACTAGGAATGCTATCTTAGAGAGGCCAGATTCTCCTTCCTGTCTCCTTGGATCTTCAGTGGTTTCTTGTTTAGCCCTTTCATGTTTTAGCATAGTGGTGAAGCGGGTGTAGGATGCTGGGCATCGCCCTTTGCAGGAGCTGATGAGATGCCTGTGGTGGTGATGGTGGTGGTGGTGGTGATGGCCTGATCCGTAAAAGCTTTCAGATGATGTGAAGGAAAAGTGGTCAAAGTCACTTTCGCTACAAAAGGATGAACCCTCTATCTGGATAAAGTCACTGAGGTCAGAAACCACTCCATCTTGATCACTGTCTGAAAAATCCATATGCGATCGTTGTGGCTCATCACTGGTCACTTCAATATGAATTGGCACCAGGGTTTTAGACTTGTAGCTCCGTTGTACCTGAGAGGGATGTCTGCCTTGATTTTCTTCTTCCAGCAAGGATTCGATAGAAAATCGCCTCTTTGGACATAAGCCATTTTTAGGAGGCTCTAGTGTAACAGCTGACAACATTTCATCACCTAGGTTTGGCATTGATTTTGACTTCTGAATTAATTTTTCAAATTCAGATATTCTGGTTGGCACCATGTCTCTGGGCACCTCTTCAGTAGAAGACTCTCTCCAGCCTTGAAGAATACCTTTGTGCTGCTCTTTTTCATACTGCAGTATTCTGGACTTCACAGAACAAATAACCTCAGAATTCATCAAGTCCTTGCGATTGATGCGGTGCATCTTTCTGTACATTTTTAGGAAACCTGGGGCATCATGTGCAGATCTGTGACGAACTCTTGACCTACTACTACCACGGCCCTCAGGAACATACGGGGAGGCCCAGTTCATTGAGCAAACTTCTTTGGAATCCTCCTCACATAACAGAGAGCCCATGCTTTCAGACTTGGCCTGCGCATCGGGAAAGCTATCGCGATCATCTGTTAACAGATCATCACAGCTACGAGATTTTCTCTTTGGAGAAGCAGTTTCTTCTGTGCTGCTCCAGACTTCTGCATTTTGACGAGTCATTTGCCAGCCATTCTTGTGGCTGATTGCCCTTCTTGAATCGTTTGGAACAGCTAAATGTTGTCTGTAAGTGCTACAGTAATCTAATTCATTTGAGGTGTTGTGGTTATGCACTGAATAACTTAAAAGGGATGGATATACTTTGCTAATATCCCCACCTTTATAATCCATAGAGCAGCATGGTAAAAAAGAGACATTGCCAGAAATTAAAAGATTCAGAAAGTTGGAAATAACATCAGTATTAGAAAGACTAGAAAAGAGACAGCAAATAATGCATCTATCAACTTAGGTCAGTACATAGGTTGCTACAGCCTGGAGCAGCAGAGCTAATAATTAAGTTATTTTCCAGCTGTAAAAATGTACTCATGATAATTTGAACATCAAACAGAATTCCTTATGAATTATGGAGATGTTACCCCCCCTGCAACTCCCCTGCCAAAGCAATGCAAGTAAACAGCACTAATACTGATTTTGAAGCAGGTCAACAGACAATAAAAGCTGCAAAGGATTTAAAGATGAAGCCAATGGCAAATCTAGACCTCAGTCAAACATTAACTTTTCCACCTGTGCATTCTGAAAGAAGCTGTTCAGAATTTTTTGGCTAGATAATGCTCAGAGAGTTCACAGCAACTGCATATTCTAAGATAATTAGGATAAATCTTTACATAAGATCAAATGGGAAATTTCTCCCAGTTGTTCATAGGTAGCATAGGTGGCCTGCTCTTTCCCCTTGTGATAGCGCTGAAGGGAGTGGTGTTTTCTACAGCTTATAGAGGGCAGAGCAAGGTGGCTGAGGAGCTGCTATATCGGTGTAAAGGAAGATCTGAGGTTTACTGAGCCTAACAAGCACGTAGAAGAAACAATAATCCTTAGCTTGACTACCATAACAAAGCCTGAGTTTTCAAGCAAGTTTTAAGACGTATTTTTATGCGCATGCTAGATCTAGAAGTCACTATGAAACAAATTTGGAAGTGTGGTCTCTCATACTTGCACTGAATTTTCAAAAATGGCCTCAAGTGGCAACTTTCAGTTCAGGACACATGCTTCAAAGAGCTAAATCTGCTTTCCAGAAGAGCAACTTGTATCTGAACCAGAAACTGAAACACTTGAGCTCAAAATCCATGCTGATCAAACAGCTTATAATGTGCTGCTTCTTTAACAAAATGGTTAATTCCAAGAAAAAGTAACATTCTAGTAGGTTTCATAATGCTGGGAGAGAATGGAGTGACACAGCTAGGTCACCTTCCAAAAGTTAATTAGTTGTGGTTAATGTTCTTAAGGGAAGGATTTTCAAACACAGGAAGTGTTTAAGCCATGGTCAGCGCTCATTATCGGTGGTGTTGTCAAAGGTAAACGCAGGTAAATGGAGTTTACCAACTTTTCACTGGCTGGCCTGGTACACCAAATGGATGAGGTTACCCACTTTTTAAATTACCGCTGTAACACTGGGTTTAAAATACATTTGCTTCTCCATCACTTCGTTCTTAATACTCCTCACTGCTTTTCTTTGTCTGATGCTTTCTGTTGCAGCCTGGAAATTATGTTCTTTTCATTGGGAATTGACTTTTACAAAGGTTTATACAGTCCCTAATACAGCTATAGGCTGATTAGAAAGTACAGCTACAAAATAGAGCAATTAAATGAATAATAGTAACTTAAACAGAAGGACACGTATTGTACATGGTATTACCCTGTATATTACTTCCATCGTATGTTTTACTGGAAATCTTTTGTCTTGCTAAAAAAACCCACCCAAACCCCAAACCCAAACCAACAACTGATTCAATTCTCTCTTTTCTGGAGACGCGTGGAGAACAGTAATGGAAAGGTGAGTTACTTGGAAAAAGAAGCTAATTAGATTGTATATGCTGTACTAAATACTTCAAGGATTTACAAAATCAAAAATCAGACTATGGATGTTTGCTTGATTAAATTAGGTCCTGATAACTGACAACGTCTAAGACATCAGCTATAGATTTGAAAGGTCTACTATTCTGGAAACACACCTTTAATCTTATACGCTATTTATCTTGATTTACTCTCTGTATATACTGAAAACAGTTTTAAAATCACAATAATCTAATAAGAGAGTAGTGGAGTTAATAAAACTTTATGGGTTTATATATTGTGGTACAAATTGTAGTCTTCATTTAGCCTATTTTCTTTTGTTAGAATAAGCAGTTGACACTGGAAAATCCTTGTTACAAATCCAGATTTTCAGCTTAAAATTACACACGTAAGAACAACTTTCATGGAAGGCTCAAAGCTGTTGCTTCATATAGTAAATCTCCCAGTAAAGTGCACTGAGCAACAGTAGACAGTTGCATTTACTACCAGTGTATTGTATAACATATCATCAGTGGTTTTCTGCTAACAAATATGCTCTCCTCTTACCTTTTGCTCTGGATGGAGAAGAAGGAGACGAGCTAGTTAAAGGCTTCCTAAGGGTGGTATACGGGCCTTGCATATCTGTACGGCCCAGGCTAGGCCTGTTTGCGTTCTGATCACTGTGCACCCTCTGATGACTTACAGCAGGTTCTGACTTCCTTCTTTTTCGGTAGTCACTCGTGGTACTTGCAGAACTACAGAAATAAGCAGTATTAGCAGCAGTCCAATTCTGAGATCAGAATTCAGGCATTTAAAAAGTAAGCTTGTAATTATATTATTGGTTTATAGATTAAACAATGCCAGAACAAATACATCAAAAACATGTAAAGGGGAGAAGCACTGGTCTCGGACATCTTACAGGATATTTCACAGAGAAAAGCTGAATTTCTTCTTCTCCTGATTGTTTTAAAGTTTTATACAAAATTGCTATGTCATTTCATAGTGAAGGCTTTGAAATAAAAGCATCAAGTTTTTTTAGACTAATTTTTGGTACTAGAAGTTCAGCGCAAAGATAGGAAAAAGACAGAGATGGAGAACAGATGAGGGAGCATGCTTAGGGAAATAGCACTGAAAGTGCTGCAGGCAGAAAGGTTAAATGATAGATCACTGCAGCTGAGACAGAAGCTCAGGCATGTCAGTGGAAAGACCCAGAAGACAGCATGGCTTATTTTGAATGTAAATAGTAAGTTCTTGTAAAACAAAAGTAAGATTTACACTTCAGTATCAAAATATGAACATCCTCTCCATGCATATCTCTATTTTGTCAGTAGCTCACAAGGTGAATGTTAAAATCTAACTCTTTGTAATATCTGCTGGCTTCAGGTCACAAAGAAAACCCTCAGGCTGTATAATCTGTGTCTACTGAAATCATATATTGTATTTCTTACCTAGAGGGCCTGTCCAGGCCTTTGTCTGTTGAATAGTGATGATACAAGGAAGTCTGTGAAGACAAATACATGAATCTGTTATACGTCTGTATTTGAAAAAAGGGTGACAATTTCTGCTCATCGTGTTTGATTATGTTGTCACTCTGTGACAAATCCTATAAAAGAGACTATGATGATTAACATCCTGGGCACTCCAACATGGATACTACAATATTTCATGAGAATAGTTATGCAGTTTTTAAAAAGCATCACTAGATTTCATTTCATATTCTATTTCAGTAATGTTTTTTCTTTTAAAACACTACTAAATAATGATCCGAAGTCATGCTTCTCTATACCCTTTTCAAAAATAGATACAGAACAGCTGAAATGAACTTCTACTATAAAAACAAAAATTTGAAAATAATTCCTTCATGCGCAAGTGAGGTCTGCAGAGCTTCTCCTTCCCCAGTTACTCACTAAAATCCCACAATCAATTATAGCCAGAAACTTTTGTAAATCCCATGATGTTTGTGGCCAGTTGTTGACCACCTTATATTCCTGGCAAGAACAGTTCTTATCACAGTACATTAGCTGTTGCTTATGGAGTTATGGTAGTAGCTACTGCATGAACCCTGGAACGTGGAATGGAGTACTGCGCCATAATATTATTATTAACACAAAGTCAACCTTAAATGACCACAAATTATAAATCAATCATTTAATACATTTCAAGCCTGCAGTCAGAATTAGGTAATACTACACTTCTGGTAACGAGGTATGAATCTAGAACGAACTGCATGGTCCCTGGGGTATTTCTCCATGGGTACAAAGCAATGTGGTTCAAAAGTTAAACTTGTTTTAAGTTCCTGGCATGTCATTTCAAAGCTAACCTGATGGACTGGAAATAGAACTATCATACAGCTTCGGAAGCTGCAGGAACTATTTTTCTCTCTATAGAAGCCTTCTAGACTTTTTCTTTGCATGGAAAAGTCTTTACAGACTTTTCTCTGTACAGAGGACTGCAGAAGTAATAGCACTTATGGCCTGTATAATTGCTTTTTTTGTTAGGTATTTTTTTTTCCCAGCGATTCGAATTGCAAGTTCATGAACAGGACTTCTCCCAGATTTGTAAACTGACACTTACGTATACTTCTAGAAGGCACCTGTAGTCTAAGAATATTTAGGAACAGATTTCATGAGACTGCATACTTTAAATGACATTCTAGAGTAACTGTTGAAACTACTTTTACAGGTGGGGCACTATAAAGACAAAACAACTGTTCAGTTAGAGCTCATTTGTCAGTAGGCTTCGTTATTTAAGACCTGCATCACACACCAAGTGACATCCGGACACTAACTGAAGTTTTGATTTCTGGCTTATATTGAAATTTTTTTACTGTGAGGCAGGGAGAACCACACAAACATGATACAATATGGATCAAATGTTATCTAAAACTTGAGCTAAGGTCATTCTGATTTTCTCAATAATTTTTAACTGTAGTTTAATTTAAATGACATTAAAAATCAGGTAAAAAAACTTCCAGGCTTTTGGTAAGAATGGCAGCTGAGATGTAAACAGTTAAAAGATGCTAATAATTCAAAGACTTTAAAGTTACTTTCCACAGAAATTAAGTCCTCTATAACTTATTTAAGGTGATCTCTGCATAGGGTTTCAAAATGTTTATTTTTTCTAAACAGAAATTTTTTTGCTTTGTGGACAACTATTCCAAGTATTTCTTCTGTGTTACTACTTATTACTACTATTATTCTCACTGTTAAATACTGTTATGTTCATAAACTCCAGTTTGGATCAGAATCACTTGCTGTACAAACACAAAGGTAGAATCTGAGATTACAAATCTGTGATAAGTGATCTATAAAGAATACGGCTCACTGCAAAAACCAGTAACATAAACCTGACCACCAGAAATGGCAGAACTAGGTTCCCGATACTTCTCTCAAGTCATACTTGGCTTAACTTGTAAAACACTGTGGCAGAACTAGCTCTAACATGGATTTCTATTAGATTAAGCATTATGAATATGAGCTGTATCCTATTAGTAGTGTTTGTGCACAGCTCTTGTTCCTCTTGATTTCAACAGAGATTTTGAAAGCAACAAATTTTGAAAACAATATTGGGTTGTAACGTTGGCTAACAGGGTTATGGCAACTCTGATGTTTCACCAAGAGAAAGCATAGGAGCTGGCCTGTAATTGAAGGAATTTAGTTTCTGGCCTATTTCAAGGCTTCTTGGTGATCTTGGACAGTTCAACATGGCATGTTTTCATCCCGCAAACTTCCACATACATTTCATTGTGGGGGAAATCTCAAAGTAAGCACATGTCTAGGAAAAAAGGAAACCCAAGGTTTTGGTTTGTTTTCTTCCAATTTATTTTGAAATGAAATAGACTACCGGACTAAATCATGAAACCATGATGATTGTACCACTTCATTGTTTTAGTAATTTGTGTGTTTAAACTTGCCAGTCTTTGCAGCTCTTCAGAATGGAAGCAATGCAAGACTCAGGTAATACCTCTAACTAAGTCACGTGCTCTAGAAGTGATGTGTCTTTGCAAAATTTTAAAGTCTCTTTTTTAATATTCTGTCACCACATTAGAGGCAAAGCTGAGGCAATTTCTCTGCTGCTGCTGAAACTCTTACTTGATGGAAACCATTAAATTGTTCCTGTCAGAGCTCAATCAGCCCAAAACCTCTGAAACTGCTTCCAAATGACAAATGTGATTCTATTGTAATGCGCTACATTGTTCTGTATGACAAATATTTTGTTTTATAATAAAATGGGAAACCAAAATAATAGATTTCCTCTTTTTCTTATCCTTATCCTTCCACTGCTGAACTGTATCATGGATATTCAGGTTGTGGAAACTGATGCACAAGTTCTGGCAGCATACAACTCTGCTCCAGTGACTTATGCTATGGACGAAAGAGGGGAGCTAGAAATAAAAGCTCCAAAAATTACTTTAGTGCTCTGCTAAAAAAAGGGCTACTTGTCACGTAGTCATTTTCAGCTCCAATACAACCTCCAGACACTTTAGATGAGACATGATCTCCTCTATTCATCTGCATCTCATTTACAGTAGAGAATGACATGCATGCAACCCACAGTGTGTGCACCACAGAAGGAAGTAGAAAGTGGCATTAAAAAAGTTATCAATGGCAATATGTCCACCTGGTAGGAATTACTATTGTGTTTATTCTTTGTAAATTAACATGTCCTCAGGCAACACTGATCTGCAATTTGCAGCCTGTGTATGATAGATCTTCACACAATCTGGGAATTAAGCTGTTAGCAAGAGGAGCAAGGTAAGGTAGGGGTACGTAGCCCACGTTCTCAAGGAACAGGGAAGTGTGCATCAGTGATGTCAGGAGGATGGCTCTCTCAGTGGGGCAGGTCTGCTGTAGCAACGGCCTTTTGGAAGAAGACTACCAACATTACTGACCATGTGCCCAGCTTCTCCCAGTGTTAGGTGTTTCCATCAGCGAAGGTTTGCCTCACTCATACAATGATGTATCCCTTTCCCAGGTGGCTTTCTGTGCAGTGGTGCTCCACATATACTTTTTTCCATGATGGGAGAGTACACAAGACTGTGGAATACAATCAAGTTTTATCACAGCATCTGATTTTTATTTGCTAAATTTGCTAAAGCAAACCTATTTTTCTGCAAACAAATGTGAAATTATTTCTTACAAGTTTCATTTTCCTAGCAAAACACAGATTTCAAGGTTTTGGGGTTTTTTTAATCATCTGTCATTGCATTGTTCTTAGGTGATAAACAAACTATGTATGACACTTTAAAATAAAAACTGATTTGTGGATTCGAATGTGAAGAACAGAAACATAATTGTTGACCGAAGTATTTTAAGTACTGTAACCTAGCTCATAAAGTCAATGGACTTAAACATTAGAAAGAAGGGGTACTGCGAAACAAAACCATACCATCTGCTCTGGGAAAGGAGTAAAGAATCAAACCTCCTTCCCACAGGCAGATTAAATAGAAGCCTGTGTTTTGGAGTCAGTTCTGTTACGGAGGTGTGCTGATGATCATCAGATATTCTCAGACAGACCATAAACCTGCTATTAGCACTATTTTATTTGTCAATATTTGGAATGTGTATGGGGCTCATGATGAGTGCATTACTGTTAACCTATTCTGTCTAAAAAAAAAAAATTATGGTATTTGTTTTTTAAAATATATTCTGAAGAAGGTATTTATTCCCAAGTCTTTGTTGTTCATACAGTTCATATTTTCAAGTTTTTCTTTACATCCTCTGAAAGATGAAAACTACTTTATGACAATTCTCCCATCACTATCCAACTTCAATGATTTTACAATAAACACCTAATATTATGAGGTCTGTCTGCAATAAAACCATAGCAGCCAGCAGCAGAGTTGCTCACACCAAGCAGAGTTGCTTACAGCTAGTGTAACCACAGTTCTCACATTTCTACACAACAGCATGAAGCAAAGGCCTCAGGTCTGTGTGCTTCCCCACACTACTCACAAAACACACATTGAGCCTGTTCTGGAAAACGTCAGAGTCTTATTTCAAAACTGGCCACAACTATCAACCCCATCTTTGTTGACCAGTCACCGCCACGGTCCAGTACGAGCAGAGGAAGGAAACTTGGGCTCACAGGTGATCTCTGTTAGAACTGTTGCATGAGGTGATACAAACATTGCAGATTAATTGTCATTGCGGGGTTTCTTGCGAAGGTGCCAGCCCCTTCCATTAGAGACTGGACCGAGACCACCCGTCACGTGATACTGGCCAAACAGCCATGAGGCAGTGATTACTTTCCACCTGTAATGGCTCCAGGGCTATACAGACCATGATGTAAATCCCAAGGGCGGTGTAGATCCTCATTGCCTCCTATGGAAGGCAATGGGTAAATCGCACAACTGAAACCAAACCACAGAGAACTTCTTTATCCACAGCATTCCCCAGGCCATAAATAGTGTGTTAGTGATCAGCCTAAGACAGCAAGAAGTGTGTGTCATGCCAAAATTGACTGCTGGATTACTATAAGGCTTTTGCTTTCTGTCCTTTA